CAGCTGGTGTCATTTTTTGATTACTTTGAATTTAATTTTTCCCCCCTTTCCTTTTAAAGCCAAAGATGGATTGATTCAGAGCAAGATAGCAAACAAAATCAGGGTTCAATCTTCTACCCCCACTCGAGTTTAAATCATTGAAAGATCTCTATACCGCCACTAATTAGGTACTCTAACAAGACGCAGGAGAAAAGCTCATCCATTTGATTTTTCTAGTAATCAGTGCAAGAATAAACTATATTCCGGAGGAAGAACTACAAATTAAAGCATAATAGAAGGCTCATACAAGAAGCAAGAGAAAGCTCATCCATTTGATTCACATATTGCCTCAGCTCAGCTAAGCAAATTGATTGATTCACCCATTGACTTGGCCACAGAAAAAACCATTACGTCCATCGGCGAAAGATGGGCTAGAGAAGAGTGAACTGTAATTTTGTTTCCTCTTTTACTTTGAATTAGATGATCTTTTGTTTTAAAAGAAAAAAATGTTAGGAATTTAAGTTAGGGTCAAGGAAAAAAAATTACTATTGGCAGGCCTAAACAGGCCGACCCTTTTATTTTTGAGCCCTACAGGATTGGCCCTTTTAAGTCCAAGTTTCCTTTGAATACCCCAAATTACAAGCCTGACTCTCAACTTAAACAGGATTAAATAGGCTGGTCTATTTTCCTGGCTCTAATTTTTTCTCGATTTATGTAAAAGTATTTTTTTAAGTGATTGTGGACCTTTCCAAACACCCACATCCAAAAAGATTATTAGTGTCTCTTATAAGCAAAAATAAGCCATTTCTATTTAAAAGAATTCTTATATGATTTATAAAGTAGAGAGAAGATTTTTCTTCGCCTTATTTATAAGTCACCTCATTAAATTTTTAGTATAAATATAATATTTTGTCTTTTATTTACTGTGGTGTAGATAGGTTTTTTTTTCTTTTTGAAATGTGTATATATTAGATAAGGGTGTAGTTGAAAAGTTATTATATTTTCACATAAATTTAATACAATTTAATGTTATTTTTAGCCTATGTGAAGTATACTAAAAACGTCTTATACATATGTTCAAAGAAGTAGGGAAAAGTAACTTGGAGGTCCTTATAGTTTTCCTTCATTTTGATTCAAGTCCTTGGACATTTTCCTCCATGTGTTAGCCCTACGGTTAAATAAAAGCCAACAATATTAAAATTTTCTGTTAGAAATCACTGCAAAACGTCCAAGACATATTCTCCCCCTGAAACATCTTTATTGTCTATCTCTTCCCCCATACCCAAGCTCTTAGGCCAAGCTTTCATCCCTCCTTAGCTCGCTTCTCAACATCTTCTCTCTTTCACCATGCTCCTGACCTCACCATTCCTTCACCTATAACACTTTCTCACTTCAAAATTGGGGTAATTGCATCTTTGAAATTTGCTCATTACATTCCCAACTCTAAAAATGGTAGTCAAAGCACATGATGTCTCTGCTTTGGGAGCATTAAAGGAAGCTATGCAATTCTCGATTTCCCTAAGCTGATCAACATCCTTCCTCATCCTGGGTCTTCACTTGCTCCTTGAGACATGCAAGTGGCATGCTGGTTGCTGAAGGCTGCTCGGATAAGTTTGGCCTATCGACAAGCTGTCCTCATTGTGGCTGGTTTCAACAATGGACCTAGGTACTAAGTTGGAGAAACTAAGTGAGATAATAATATTGGAATTGGTGAAGGAAGTTGTGTACATGGATTCAAAAGAGGGATGGATGTGTGAGCCACTGTGGTTATGGAACATGGACGATTGGGATGGGCATGTTGCATATGAACTGTGGAATTACTAAAAGTGTGTTGTTCTTGTTTTTGCTAATATATGTGATGATCTATTCTCCATTTTGAATTTTGCACATTAAGGAGGGGAAGGAGAAGGTGTTGATGGAGTAAGCGAATGACGGAGGAAAGCTTGGTCTAAGAGCTGGGGTATGAGGGTAGACACAGACAGTGAAGATATTTCAATGGAGAAGATGTTTTGGATGTGGTGCTGCATTTTCTAACAGAATCTTATTTAATAGCAAGGACTATTGTGTAACAACTAAAAGTTAAAGGACCCGATTAAAAAAAAAGTTGAGGACTTGATTCAAAATAGAGGAAAACTATAAGGACCTCCAAATTACTTTTCCCTAAAGAAGTATATAAAACGGGTGGGGTGATAGACAACAGTTTGATTGTGGTTAATGGTTATTGATAAACCTGTTTTATGCATGCCACCTTATTCTTATTTATAAGTCATTTACACTATAATCCCACAAACCAAGAAATATATTAAATTAATAATTTTTTCACATTTTGCTCTTATTAAAGGAAGGGTGTATAAAAAAATATGTTTTATATTTTTTCTCATCTATTGAAGTCAAGAAGGGTAAAATTAAAAAATGCTCATTAGTTACTCCCTTCATCCCTTTTTATAAGCAATAACTACTATCATCCTCTTATCTCTAAATACAAGTAACATTTGCAAGTTGTCTCAAATTTTTGTAGCAAATTTTCTATTTTGCCTCTGTTAATTATTTATTTCAATATCCAATATATTTGTTATCCCATTTTTGAAACCATCATCCCTTTACATCAACAATTTCTCTCTTTCATAATTCTCCTTATTATAATAATTTTTTATTCTCTTTCTCATACTCTCTCTTTTCCCTATAAATAAGGGTATTTTGAAGAAAAAACTTTTAATTTCTACTTATTTATTTTCTTTAACTAACTTTTTTATTTGTGTAATGGAGTCTAAGGTTTCTTATAAAAAAGGAGGGAGGGAGTATTTTTCCCCCCCTAAAACATCCTAAATATCTTTCTTAATTCCTTCCCTCTATCTCCTACTTCATTATTGTTAAGAAAATATTAATAGGGTTAATTTGTAAAAATTTGATAAACATATGAAATAAATCTTCTATATAAGAATAACATCAACTACCCAATTAGGTCCTATATTAAAGATAAGAGGAATACTAATTGTGGTTTTAAATATAGGAACTAAATAAGAGTTTACTTTGATTCTAAATATAAAATTTTAATCCACTTTATTTTTCACATTTATAATTTTTTTCTAAGATATCCCTATTGATTATAAATTGTAAAGGGCTTTTATCAATGTGTAGTTACAATACATATGATTTGAAAATTTATAATAAGGAAATCAAAAAATAACTAACCAAAATATGTATTAAATTAATAATATCAATTTAAAAACCTATCATATAAAGTGGTTAATAGCAATAATAGAGTTGGAAATATTTTTATAAGAGTTGTTAACAACATTATGAACGTTAAAAAAAATCTCAGTTTAAAAACTTGAAAAACATGTTTAATATAGTTATTGAAGTTGTGAATATTGTTAGAAGAGTTGTTAATCATGTTATGAAAGTTAAAAGAATTTTAGTTTAAAAGGCTGCAAAAAATGCGGTTGATAGCGTTAGTGAAGTTGTGAGTATCATTGAAGGGTTGTAAATCATTAAAAGTTGAAAAAAAATTCCAATAAATAGTTGGTGTTTGCTAGAGCTCCAGCAGCTGATCGGTCGATGGAGTGACTTGAGGTTTTTTTAAAAAAAATAAAAGGCAATATTGTAAATTAACCAACATTTAAAAATTTCAATTTAGTCATTATGACTAATTTAAAATTTTGTAAGTTTAAGTGACTATCTAAATAAATTCAACTATCATTGTATGGGAAATTTTCTTCTTGTTTTTTTTTTCCTTCTCTCTAACAACCCCCCTCCTCATGGTTCTCTCGACAAACCTCATGTTCTTCTCTTCAGTCTCCACAGTCTTCCCACCCACATAGGCGAAGTCTCCACTCTCCACATTTGGGAATTTGGATGGTATTGTTGATTTTTCCTTTTTTAACCCACAAATTCTTTTTGCTATTTTCATTGGCTCCTCTTCTTTTTTTTTCTTTTTTTTTTTCATTTTAGCATTTGGATGGAGTGTGGATTCTTTTTTTTTTTTTTCATTACTTTTATTTGTCTAAATTAAAGAACAAATAAATGAGGTCTCGACCATTTAGACTGGTCTAGGCAGTCCCCTGAACCAAGTCTGGTCCAACCCAACTTCAGGTTTGTACTGGATTAGACCTAACCATGGGCTGTATTATGCAGCCTGAGGCCTTTATCAAACCAAGACTTTAGGCTTAGCATCAACTTGGCCTGGTATGGTCAATGCGTACTCTTAATTCTAACAAACCCTTAAAATTAAATAATTTAAATTTTATAAATAACAACAACAACAATAATAATAATTTTATTCAGACTAAGTAAACTTAATAATAGATACTTACTAAATCTAGATCCTTGTTGATTGGTTTTCAATTTGAATTAACTTAGGTATGGGTCTTCATTCAGTGCTTGTTACAATAATGATTACCATGTGCTCATCACTAGAATGCAATCTAAACCATCCAAAATTTAATATAGAGGGTTCAAATTTAAAATTTTTAATATACAATTTTTTTAATAATAAATTTATTTTTTAAAGATATGTTAGTTATGATATAATATTTATGTTAAATTCTGTATCTATGAAAACAAAAAATTGATTAAAATATATAAAAAATTTAAATTCAATCTGAACTATCAAAAAGTGATCTAGATAGTCTAAATTGCGATGAGCACTTCATGTTCATTATTGTGATGAGCGTGAAATATGCTCTCCTGCATTGGGTTTGTCCAGATGATTGTTTTTAGTTTTGCTAATTAAATGATTTTATTATGTCATATTCACGAACGATCTACTATAGTTATTGAGGCTTTTGAAGTATTTTATTTTAAATAGAACAAATATGTTCCTAAAGTAACTTTGTCAGTGTCCTAGTCGTTTGAGATTTGAAAAAACTGAGGTATAAAACACTTATTAGGAATTGGGGGGGGGTGTGTGTAATAAGGCGCACATTTTTTTATCTTGTACAGAAAAGGGGGTGAGAAGAAGAAGATATGCATATTTTCTCATAGACTCGCATTATTTATTAAAATTAAAGTAATATGCTATCAAAAGTAAAATTGATAAATCTGAGTAGGATTCTGATGGTCAATACATAAATATATTATAACCAATAGTTTCTGACTCTTTATTTAAAATTTAGGGTAGACATACTTAGAGTTCATAACAACGCCAAATCAGAAATTGACGGCAACTTAGTGGTACTAGTCTATATGGTTGGGTATGAAGCGGCAGTATTAATAGAGCAAACTCCATTTGGTGCTTTTGAATTCCTTTGAATCAAGAAGTATCCGTTCATTCCCCAATCTTCTCCCCATGAGTTCTTTACAATCCAATAATCTTTGCCATCTTTTGAGTCATATCCCACGATCAAAACTGCATGATTTGGTTGATTTCCCATGGGGCAACTTTCACCATCAATAATCCCCTGGCAAAATAATAAAACAAAAATAATTAGAAAAAATTTATGAGATTGATGGTTAACTAATTAACCATCGAATTTAAAACTAAAAAGACTGATCGAAGATTAAGCTTAAGACTTACGCCCTGATAAAATTGAAGTGGTGTTGCATCCAAACCCACCGTAATAGGTTGATTAGCGATGGCACACAAGAGAGCATGATCCGACTGCTTTACGCGTTGATAGCCATTTATTTTCACAACACTTTTCTGAAGGAACATAAAGAAAGCACAAATCAGATGAGGAAAAGATATATAGATGTACTTCAAAATCTCCACAAGGTAAAGAAACAAACCTTTTCAGCTTTGCAATGACCCTTTTCCCCCACATAAGGATAATCATCTTCTTTACTGAGCCCACCATTCTTGACAACCCATTTAAAGGCCGTCACGGGAAATCCTCCTGAACAAGCATGGTTGGTGAGGTCACAATCCAGAAGTTCTTGTTCAGAAAGGCGAACAAGTTCCCCGTTTCTTATTGCATTCGCTGATTCGATTGCCCCAGTGGTCGCGAATGCCCAACAACTTCCTGAACCATGAAACATTAATCAAGGTATTAGCCCTTTGAGGTTCCAAAGAATTATATAAATATAATTTAGAATATCCTCAAGAATAGAGACTAATTTGTGTTGGGGCAGGAAGCGTCAAGATTAAAGCTCGGAGTGTGCTTGTGGGAATTTGAACTTGTGTTCTTTTCTTCTAGCATGTATTTTAACTCTATGTCAAGATTAAAGCTCGGAGTGTAATATATTTACAAGAGCAACTCACCACATCTTTTCTGGTTTTTGACAGGAGTCACCACTCTTTTCTGTCTCCAATCCATGGAAGAAGGTGCATTTTCACATGAATTGTTGGGCTGCCTATGTCCCGACCTCGAGGTAGCCGGCGCGATGGTGGTCGGAACCTCCAGGGGATGGAGGTACACTCTCTTAAACTCCTCAGGACTCATATCAGCAAACTTGTTGAGTCCCAAACGATAGGCACCAGAAGAATTGGATCTCTTGGCATTTGTCACAGTGATGTACTTGAGATTTCTTTGGAATATTTGGAATCTAGTGTTGCTCTCTTCAGAGTTTGCGTAGACTCTTCCATGCTCCGCCATCCATTGCTGGAACATTTCAAAGTCTTGTTCAGCCTTTGAAGGGGAAACTGATGATTCGCTGGTAGGGAATCCTGAAGAGAGACAAATCAGAATAGAACACCAGATCAAGGGAAAAAGGAACTGAGACATACTAGTGTAGAAAGCCATGCTTATTTTGTTGTTTCAGTTACTGAGAAATGAAACTTCAAATAAGCTTGCATGGAAGTGAATTCATCCACGAGCTATTTATAGACAATTCTTGTTACTTGCAGAAGAAAGCGACATAGATTGACGTCAATATTATTTTTTTATTTGACGGATGATATTTATAACCGATCAACGCGTTACCCATCCTTGACGCACAAGAACGTGTCAATAATCTTAAAGCCTCTTTTTTTCAAAATAATCTTATGCACTGTTTGGCTGGAAGGTTTTTGGAGGGAAGGGAGGAGAAATTGTGTTTGGTTGGGAAAAAAATGGAAGAGACGGGAGGATAAAAAATTGTCTTAGTGCTCTTCTCCTCCCCTCCAGATTTGGGGTTTTTTTGAAAGAAAAAAAATATTATGTCTCATCCTGACCAAATTACTTATATTAGTTTTTGGATATTCATAGTTTATCCTTTTTAGTAAAAACTGTTTTTCACTCTTTTTCCTTTTCAGCCCCTACAAATTGCTCTATAGATTTTTTTTTTTCACTCCTCACATGTTCTTTTCTTTTTCCAATTTCATCATTCCCCATGCTCTCCGCCATTAATCTTCCCCATCTTTTCCTCTCGCCTGTCCCCCACTTCATTTATCTTATCAGTATTATTAGTATTTTGTTTCATTTATTTATTCTATATGAAGCTATTATTTTTTGGTTTATATGAGTCATTGGATCCATTAAAATAATATTATCAATCGCCAAATCTGTTGATATTCCTGTCTATATATACCTATTTTAATTCAATTTCATTTTCTTACATAAAATTTTGTGTGTTATCCAATTAGGCACATGAGGCCGCGCATGTTATCTGATTAAGGATAGAATATTTCAAAGCTTGTTGCATAAATTTATGGTTTAATACAAACTTTGGTCCTTTAAATTTACCCTCACTTTGGTTTTGGCCCCTCAAATTTCAAATCATAGGTTTTAGTCCTTCAAGTTTCTTTTCATTTAAAATATTGGTTCTTGTAATCCAATAAAAACTTGGACTTTTTTGCCCATTGAGGAACTAAAACCAAAATAAAAGCAAACTTGAGGGACCAAAAATTATATTAACCCTAAATTTATTTATAATTTATATAATATGCTAAAGATTATAATATTTTTTTTATTGACATTTATTTTGATCTATGATTATTTATAATCTATTTGTTATGTCTCAAGATAACTGATTTTTTTATATTCATAAATTAGAAAATAATTACTATTATATAAATATTGTAATAAAATAATAAAGAAATCGAAATAAAGAGATAAGGACATATTTGTTAACTTATAATTAGCCCCCCTCCTCTCCTCCTAAACCAAACAAGAAACCTTCCTTCCACTCCCTTCTCATCCAACTGAACAAGACTCATAAGCTCCTCTCTCCTCCTCTCCTCCTCTCCCATCGCATTAATTAACATCCCCTCCCCTCCATTGAACCAAACAAAGCCTTAAAGTACGTTTTGAATACGGTTTAGTATGACTCAGGCAAGGGAAAGGGAATAATTCATCGATGTATAGATTTTGACATATTTTGACAATTTTCGTTGTGTCAAACCAAAACAATTTGGAGTGAATGGTTGCTGATAAACTGATGAAAAAAATCTTCGTCTTGTTCTCTGTTACGCAAATCGCGGACGCCTCAATTAAAGAAGGTCACTATGTTATTGTTTAAAGAGAAGAGACTTTTATACTCTAATGAGCGTTATTTGTAGCAGAGAGACATATATATATATATATATATTTATATATATATGACTGGCCAAAAACTAAAAGATTCTTTCAATAATTTTGGAAATTTAACCCTAAGCGCAGCTAACAATGGGGAAGAATCAAGGCTAACATTTTTCGAAAAAATATTAACTTTATATATCAGGCAGCTATTATAATATAATGTCTTTTTTTATTATTATTATTATGATGATGCATGTGAAGGACACCTTAAGAATCTCAATTAATTAATATTGAAACTCATAAGTCATAACCTTGTTACGAGTAAACCGTGATTTCTTGAATTGTAGACATAATAAATAAATATTTGTCTTCTTCAACGTTACAGACGCCACTATTATTGCTTAGAACTCTGACAATGAAATCAACACTTCAATTCAAACAAGGAATTCATACAAAAGCTGCTTTCAAGTGCATTAATACGTAATTGCAAAGTACTCCCTCCAATCCTATAAATTAGATATGTTCTTAAAAAAAATGCTATAGTTTTTTTTTTTTTTTGCTTTTCTCTGTAGCACTGAATTGGTTATTTCAGAAATGATTTCCGGCACATTCCAAGTGTAATATAAAAATATTTAAAGATCATATTTAAGAGAGGCAAAAATTAAAAGTGGTTGAATTTTAAGACAATTTTGTTATTTCAACAAATTTACTTTGGTTCGGCGAGTTACTTAAAAACAACTTATATATAGCACAAGAGAGAATACAAATTTTGGACGAAGACAAATGAGTATTGTTGGATATTTTCTTTTTCTTAGTACACGCAACACATATTGTCGTTTTTTGGACTGAGTATTCATTTTATTATTATGATTGAAATATAGTGGTGCATAGTTGTTATGCAGGCTTGGAAAGCTATGAAGGAAGAAAAATTGTTCATATAATTGGATTCAAATATATATAAAAGAATTTGGATCATATAATGAAGTGATTAACTGCATCCAAATTGGGTTGCTGGGCTAAAGAAAATCCAGATGCAAGGCCTTCCATAGAACTTTAAAGATAACACAAGGGTTAAACTAATTTTACTCACAGGAGTTTTTCCAGAGTACCCAAAAAGCTTTTGAGGATTAATATATCACCCTAAAAATATCTAAAAAGGAGCAAATTTACCCTAATAACCGTTAAAAAAAATCTAACATTGATCATTAAAAATTAATGTTAACCATTAATGTTTTTAATAATCAGAGGCAATATTGCTCTTTGGTAAACACATTTGAAAGATTAAAAAAAAAAACAAAACAAAACTTTCTTATACTACGGCTCCTATGTAAAAATCTTTAGGACAAACTTGCACCCTAAAAAAGGAAACTATTCCTATTTTACTCTGCACAATTGTGTATGGAGATATACCGTTTATATTATGTCCTACTCTTCTCAATATTATTTTAAAATGACTCTATTACAGAAATTACTACCATCTACAGGAGCCATTTTTATCAAAGAAAAAAGAATAAAAATGTAAATTATGAACCATTTGATTTTTCTCCAATGTTTTGGGAATTTTCGGGTTGGTTTCTTGAAGACTAGCTCTTGGTGCGCCTTGTTTTTTCTATGGAAAACGATGATATATAATCAACACATTATTGAGAAAGTAACCAACCCGAAAGCTGGGTGTCGTAAATGGACTGGTAAGCTGGGAACTTCCCCACGACTGGGGCCCCTAGTCCTGTTAGTTACAAGTGAGTTAGTTTGGCAGTTAGCAGAGTCCATTTCGATTGCTGAAAGAGGAGATGTTAACACAGCTGGATGATGTTAGTACTTTGCAAGTTCTTCAATTTAGCTTCAAGGTAGCTAGGGGCACCAACGTAAGACAAAATCCATTTTCTATTTTTGTTTTCTTTTGATGGATGTGACAATAATAGTTGAAAATATATGTTATATATTTAGTTGTGTAAACGGCAAATATAAATATGAGACTGAAAGAGTAAAATACATTCCTAACCTTATTTTATATTGGGAAAATGAATGTTGCTGATCATGGAACAATATGGTTTTAAGACAAAAATGTAACTTTAAAGTCTCTAAATAAATTTTCTCTCAATTATTGATCAAGTCCATAAACTTTGATTTAAGACACAACTCAGTTTTTTTAATTTATTAAGTGGAAGCGTTCTAAAAATTGAGTTGTCTTGAGTTAAGAAAATATCAGGGCTAAATTTTTTATTATAAAATTTTGAAATTTGAGTTACTCCTTTTGTATTTTTGAATAAAACTCTGAAATTTTAGGCCCCAAACTTGATTTCGATTAGTAAATTTGAGAGTGGTAGCTAAGATTTTTTTTGACGACGGACACAAAATTTAAGGATATCTTTTTTGTATATTTAAAATTAATCTATGATTTATAACTGTTATTTTTTCCTTTAAATTAGGGCTGCTTACGAGATGGAATGGGGACTGAGACACCCCCTCCCGCCTGCATCCCATCCCATAAATAAAAAAAAAAAAAGCAGGACACCATTTTTGTCTCATGTCCCGTCTCATTATTCTGTTCACAACATGAAAGGGTCTTGTGCATGAATCAAATTCATCCAAGGCGATACTTCCATGAACTTACTTGGTTCAACCAACAATCTTCTGCAATCACAAATCCATGACGAATGGGACGTCTGAAAAATATCTAAAGGCGAGCAACTATAGAGTATGAACACAGGACATATAACAACTGTCCAAAGAATCGAAGCTTAAAAATGAAAGTAAAGGAAGCACAACAGACAAAGACTGAGAGATACTTTATATGTTTTTAAATGTAAGACCCATTCTGTAATATAAATTTATACTACAAAATGGGCCTTACATTTGTGACCAAACGAGTAATAATTATTCAATCAACTTGTTTAAAATGGATCCTCTGTTCATTCATGCCATGGCCTTCGTACCGTCTCCAATAAGTTCCGTATAACGCAAGGAAGTGTTTTACGTGTTAATGTAACAAATGTGAAACTCCTTTTGAGTCCACGCCTCATTAATATGTTTAGAGTGTCAAATGTGTGCTGATTGATTGAAGAATGATGGGGTTGGGGCCTATGATGTGTCTTGCTTTATAAATATCAAGTGGTTAAATGATGCCTTTTTAATTTGTTTATGATTTTTTAAAGAAAAATAATCTAAAATTATGCTTATTTTCTTTGAAAAACCATTAAAAAAAAAAGATTAAACCTGTAACACCCCGAATTTTATGATTTAAGATGAGCAGAAAAGAGAGAAATTCATTAAAATTATTTATTTGCAAAATAAAGTGGGAAAAATTATGGAATATTGATTTTTAAGATTTAGAGACATAT